CCTGATGAAAGCTTTTCTTAATGATGTTTTCACTTATATGTAGAGAATAAATTTCTTACTGCTTTCTTTATCTTCTTCTCCAGAGGAATAAATGCTTCTGGAATACGCGACCAAGGAACGGCAATTTGATGGGGATGTTGTCAATTTTTATTGACTTCCCAGCAGAGCAGAAATCGCTGAAGCAGGTTACTACAGATACAACCTGCTTGTTACGCACGTGACAGCCATGCACAGCTCTGACCAGGCAATAATTTCTCCCAGGAATGACATTATGCCCCCAAGGCCACAAGCAGTGTTACTTTCCACATAGCAGGAATGCATGGCTGGCTGCAGAGTATCCCGCTCTGTCCACAGCTCTCCACAGTCTCCCATAACCAGCCCACATGCCTGTGGGGCTCAGATGCTTTTATTAGCATCCAGCTCCCAGTGGCTGCCGCTCTGGGACCATGTGTGCCCGACACCTTTGTTCCTCACAGCCCAGGCTGCCCATGGCCTATTTTCTGAGCTCCTTACTGGAAACTCCTGCATCCCTGGCTCTGCGCTCTCCTCTGCCAGGGAGATGGAGTCCGCCTTGGGCTGAGGAGGCAAAACCCACCTCTTTCTGAAGATGCTTCAGTGTCATGTTTCAGTTCAGTCACTGTTTCAAGGTCGGATGGTGCCAGTGTTGTCGTCATGGACTGAAAGAACGCAAAGCATCTGGCTTGCCCTGCCTTTTCCTCAGTTGTCTGCTTATCTACGTAGGGCAGATGTTATCTCTCCAAGAGCAAAGCATGTACTTTGCATTGTAACAGGTAAATTTTTCAGCTGCTGCTGCTCCCCTTTTCCCATTTCCTCCCTTGTTAGTACCCATATTCTACTGAGAAACGTTTCAGACACGAGAGACGCAGCAAAAACACCGACCGATGTGTTTCGGGAGGTGCTGCGAGAGACCAGGAGGGGGATTTTTAATGTCAGGAAACAGTTGTGTCCCCAAGGCCTCGCAGCCGGCACGGTTCTAGGAAACGCTTTGAACTGGAGAGGGATATGAGATTTTTGGTGAGTGACTCATGTTTTTTATAGCTCACCAGTTTCACAGCCTTGGAGGCTGAGCAGTCTGCCCAGAGAGCAGGTGCAGCAAGTGCCCTGTGGCAGCCTGACTCTGCACACAGGTAGTCTGCTTCAGCATTGCTGCAGAGAGATGTGCCCCTGACCTTCTCAGCCCTGCTGTTGTGCTGGCTGTAAGGGCTTCCAGGGCTTTGGGATGGACATCTGTCTATATGGGCACAGGGGGAGACCGGAGAGGAGGGTTGCATGCCTCATGATGTAAAACTGCACGCTTTAGAGGGAGTGAGGAAGAGAAAGCTGGTGTGGGGAGGCTGTAGGAGAGACCTCTGCAGGAGCAGCTGTGTGCTGTGGTGTGGGAAAATGAATTCCATGTGCCCACAGATACACTGTGATGGGCACCCGAGGTTGGGGGCACTGAGCTCTGCCCCTCAGCATGCCAGGGTCTGAAGGAAAGACTGAAAAAGCTTTACACACAGACCGCTTTGTGCACAGTGTGTTGGTCTTGCCGCTGTACTTCCTTTCCAGTGAATTTACAGCTTCTTGTAAGATTCTTGCCAGTAAATGGAAGTGGAAGGAGTGGGAAGTCATGGAAAGATGAAGATGTAAGTGCAGCACAACTGTGCTTTATTAGATACCGTTACTAGCTAGTTATTGATTCAGCCTGGGGTTAATGCCTGAATCTAAGTGTGACTTTGCACTAATTCACTACACACTAGTTTTTGGAGCTGCAACACTCTTGTCTTCTTTTCCTCTGCTTGTGGCATGCTCCTAAGTATCTTCCCTTTTAATACCATGGCCAGGTGCTTTCTACACATATGCAGAGCAAATGTGAGACCTGTTTTTTCTCCAGGAAACCATCTTGGACCCTTGGTTCTGTCACCAGCCAGATCACCTGGCTCCTCTATGCCTGCTCCTATTCCCAGTCTCCTCTGCAGTGCATTTTCTCCCAGATGTGTGGTTCGCACTGGAAAAAACATTTCACATAGGAGTGTTTTTTTAAGAGGGTCCTGCCAAAATTTGGTCCCACATCTGGGCTAAGTGGTGGACTGGGCCTCCCTTTCCCTGGGTGACGTTGTGGGTCACTGCTAGCTCAGCATCGTTCAGCAGGGACGCACCTCCTGATATCAGGATGCACCTTGGCCTCAGAAAATGTAAAAGGCCTCATCCTGCAGACCTTTGCAGGCAACTCTTTCTTTATAACTTTATGATGTTTGGAAGCAGGGGCTTATGTGGAGGCAGGAGGATGGCACCCATTTCCCACTGCTTCTTGATTACCTTGAGGCAAGTTAGCCAGGTTGTAGATTAACTGTGCACTAAAGGCCAGCAATTGCAAAGCCATTATAGATATGCCATTGTGTATATCCTCATGTTTATTACTTCATTCTTTGTTAAATCTGTTTCTCAAAGAAAAATACACTGAACATGCAGTGGCTCAGGCTGAACTGATGCAGGCTTTTCTGGCCTGCCTTCCTCCTGAATGGGACATGCCCTCCTGCCTGCCCTGACCACTGTCTGCCCATCCACCCTGGGTCTCCAGAGGATGCCTTGGGACTGAAAGACCTTGAGGAGATGCCCATTGGTGCTGCTAGGTATGAGCTGTGGTAGCAGAGGGCCTCTCATGCCCTCTCATGCCTCTGCCTGCAAGCACAGTACACTTCTGCCCTCCCCATGAGCTCAGCTCGGAGCTGCCTGCTATGCTGTGATCACCAGGGCTTAGGCTGTCGGGGCTTACCAAAACCAAAGCAGGGCTTGGGGCTGGGCAGGAGGACATGAGAGCAGAGTCTTGCAACTGCTGAGAGCTGGTGGTGGTGGAAGAGGGGAGTAAAGACCCCCTGTGCAGAGCGAGAGCAGGGTGGAGGCTGGATCCTTGCATTCGCCCCACTGCAGCTCCCTGCACAAAAGCAGGCAGAGGTGCCAGCATTGGCTGGCATGCTGTGGAGGTGTTTAGTTTCCTCTTTGTCTGTGAGCTGGCAGTCTGTGTGCATGAGATATGACTCAATCTGAGAAGGAGAACAGCCACCTCTTCCTCCTGCTCTCAGGAGCAGAGGCAGACCCCAGCCTTGCAAGGGGGTTGGGAGTGTGCTGGTGCATGGGGTCATGCTGCTTGGCCTGTCAAGGGAACCAGTGTGAGCCTGCAGAGCTGCTTACAGTGTTTTCTCATCAGCTGGCCAATTTCTCTCTTAATGAGCACATTATATTGGCATGGCTGTTGAATGAATGCAGAAAGCATTGGGAAATGCATGATGACTTACACACAGCTGGAGATTTAGCATGGCTCACAGAAACACCCATAGCTGAGGAAGTATTCACGAAAACAGCCAGCCATTTGCACTAGCTTAACACTTGCACTTCTGGCTGGGACAAGGAAGTGGCAGCTCCTTGGGAAAACAAGTGGGCAGGCTCACTCAGGTGTATCTGAACTGTAGGAAGAATATAGACTCAAACCAGCTCTGATTCAGTTTGAGGAACCCAATCCCTCAGCCTTTGTGCTGGCTATGAGTGTCTCAGGTCAAAACACCAATGATACCAGGCAAGAGACTTTTGAAAGGCTTGGGGGAGTAGGAAGGAGAAAAGAGGAAAGATGAATCCAGACCCAGGTATTACAGTGCTTTGCAAATCCCACATCAAAACCCAGATCCAAGCATCGCTGAGCTGGGGGATGCTGTGAGTACGAAGTTTGCCCCTCAGGCCTGTCTGCCATGCTCTTCTTCGAACATCTGCCACTGAGCTGCAAGCAGAAAACAAACTCTATAGTATGGACTCCAGCAAGTCTCTCTGCATGTGGTAATGGCCCTTTGTGCATCAGCATGTCTGCAGAGCTCAGGAAAAGCAGTGTGGCACAGGCAGAAGCTGAGAGTCAGCGGTGAGTCCTGGGCAGCGGAACTGCACTGGCTGTGTTTAGTGCCAAGGCTCAGACTGTGACTGTGGTTAGAGAGGTAGCTGGAGCAAGGCAAGGGGAGCTTCAGAGAGGCATAGCTCTTTGGGAGTCCTCCATCCTTATCCCTGGAGCTGCACGCTGCAGTGGGTACAGGCTAACAAACGTTTCACTGATGATAGCCTTCTTCCATGGTTTCAAGTTGCCAAGTGACACCCTTCTTTCTCCATTCTCCCCTCCATGACTAAAAATACTAGTCCATCAAGTCCCTAATGTCTAGAGATTTTTGGGAGGTGCAGAGTTGTTAGCAATGTGGATGTCAAAACAGAATGTGGTTTGAGCTTGAAAAAAAGCAGAAAATACAGGGATGAACACTGAGTGCAGCCTTCCTGTGGCACATCCTCACCTGCATCAGGGCACGCCGCTGTCAGAAGGAAACACTCCCTCCCAAAGCATACATTGACACCCTCTCCCTTTGCAAGCAGAATTAATCATACTTATGTGCCATATTCCATTTTAATTTTTATTGCAGAGTCCAAGATTAAAGGTTAATGTAGTACGTCTCCCCATCTCCACTCCCATTACAATGGAGTGCTTTGAATAACTATTAACTTCGCGGTTAACCGAAAGAAAATTGTTAATCATCAACAAGCTTATGTTGCATAAAAATCATTCTCTGTAACCTTCTCCCAACTGTGGGAGAGCCTTTTCCTCGAGGCTGACCTTCAACAACACCTGGTACCTGCAGCCTGCAAAACACCAAAGATCATACTATGCGGGCTTATCTGCTAGCCAAGGTCACAAACTGTGTGAACCACTGGAGCACAACTTATGTTTCTTGGTGTTGATGTTCATCCAAAGTTTGGTTCTGCTGTCAGCAAAGATACGGTTCCCTGGGCCCTCAGAAAGCACCTGATGAGCAGCTTTGTTTTGTTTTTCTTTTAATTTAGCAAGTTAAGGGTAATCTGTGTAGCGCTGGGTGCTGCTGGGGCACATGCTGTGGCAGTACAGCCTGTCCTTTCCACAGCGCAAGACACGCGCAGACCGGTGCGTGCGTGCACGCTGCAGTTCAGTGGCCTGCCCTGGGGACCAGCTCTCGTCCTGGCACCAGAGTTGCAGGGCAGGAGGGAAGCCCCTTGTGAATTAGACACCCCCCTATGCAGAAGAGCCCGCTGGCACTGCAGGTGCAGGGTGCTGCTTTCTGCCTCCCCATGCAGCTGCTGCAAGCGGCCAAGCTTGGCTGCAGAGGTGCTGCCTCCTTGTTGAGCGATTACATACAGGAGGCTTGCATCCAGCCATTCAGGAAATAAATCACCCACTGTTTGTGAAGTAGGAGGGAAGCACTTGGGACAGTGAAAGATTAGACTGTAAGCCTCACAAAACTCCCCTTCTGGCTGTAAAGATGGGCTGCGGATGTTGTATTTTTTAGCTCTTTAAATGATTATTTCTGTGCCAGACTTATTAGGCAAGGTATTGTTGGGATCTTGGCAAGGAGATAAACATGGCTGCAGGCTTCGCAGTTGTTCCTGTCCGCATCTGGTCACTGTCAGGCCTTCAGCTAATAGGCTGAGGACTGTGTGCTACTGTAAACAGCCTCTGCAGCTGCTAGGGGCTAAATGTAACTATATATTGCTCCAAATACAAACATTTCCACATTAGGTATTGCGTATCCTCCCCCAGCACAGAGCTGCAGCCATTGACCTCGGGAGCCTGCACCGCATCAGCTTGCCCTGGCTTCTCCTTGGCCAGCAAATCCTGTCTCTTTTTATGGCTGTGGCTCTTGAAAGTGAGAGCAACAACCCCAGCTCAGGTCAAGCTGAATGTGGCCAAGCATTGTGCAACCTCCCGCAGATGGTCTCAGTGCTGAATGGCCAGTAGCCATGGGGTGGCAGAGGCTGGAGTCTGGCACGGAAGGACTTGATGGGAACAGGGGCTCATAAACAAGGTGGGGGGCGGGAATGGGTGGTCCCAGGCAGCAGGGAGCTGCAGAGGGAAGGGCTTTGGATAAAGGCACAGATAGCCCCAAGATATCCTAGGACTTTATAATAAACATCTTTGGCTGGGACAGGCCAAGCCCTGCTGAGAGGCAGTCAAGGGCTGGGAGCTGCTCTTGGCTGTTGCCAAGGACTTCAGGCAAGTTGTTTTGCATGAAAACATGAAGCCCCATGCAGGTGTCCAAGTACAGTGCCCAGATTCCCTAAGCAGTGTGCTTGTCCCCTCTTCTTGCTCCCCTGCTTTGTGCTTCTGCCTGCTGGGAGCAATTTGGAAAAGACTGCTTTCAACAAGGTGTTTTCTAAACCTGTCTCAAGAGAAAGACGATTGTATCTCATTAGCTGGAGTCCTAGGTCACCCCTATGATAAAATCAGCTTCCATCCAGTACATGCAGGAGTGCTGCCTCATGCCTGAGTGGAGTCCATGAGTGTGCGTGGGGGGTTGTTGTAGCTGTTTTCTGGTCTGGCCTGCTCCCAAAGCACTGCAGAGGTCTGTCCTTCAGTGCCTGCTCAGGTTAACTGGGTAGAGAACAAGGCTCAGAAGGGCTTTTCCCCAGTACAGTAGCTCAGAATCTAAAACCAATCTCTGCAGTAGAGACCCAGCATCCAATTCAGCAGGTGTGTCCCAGGCAGCAGCCCCTGGTTTGGAAATTCAGTGTGCCGTGCTGACCAGGCCCTGCTTAAATACATTCTGATTAATGCAGTGTTAGCCTGTTTACATCAGCAATCCAGCCCGCTTGTCCATTGCGCAGCACCACTCAGTGTTGCAGGAAAGAAAGACGCCTTTTGCTGTTTGGCTGACTCCAGGCTGGATCAGCTGGCCAGGTGCACAGCCAATTTCCATTGCTGCTTTGAAACTGGGAAGTATTTTGAAAAGAATAGAGCCTTTAGCCTTGTAAGTAAGAGCCATTTATCTTAGGATAAAAAAAGTGCTGGCATGGAAAAATTCCAATGCTATGAAAGTCTCTTTTCCTGAATGTCTTGGATACTTGCTGGATTAGGTTCACTGGTAAGGAGCTCGAAGTTATGAATGTCTCTTTTAAAGAAAAGAGCTGCAGAAGGAAAAGGCAAGCACTGGCATACTTGTAAGTGGGACAGAGCGAGATTCCCCATGGACTAGACATTTCTGAGATTGCTTTTAGAGGTACGGTCAGTATTGCTGCAGTGAGCCGAGGTGGTAGTAAATACCCAATGTAACTATAGCTGTTACCATTTCCCAAGGGTATGGTATCAGCAGAATACCGTATATAAACAAATGCAAAGCACTATTGGCTTTGCTCTGCACTGTTGTTTAATAATGCTTTGTGCTTCATAGAGCGTCAGAGTGTTTTATAGACGCTAATGAAATTAGCCTCATGATGCTCTTCTCAGGTATTATTAGCCCTTTCGCTGGGCTGAGTGTGTGTGTGCTCCCAGATGCATGGGACGTGTGTGCCTGTGCTTCCCAGCAGGAGACACCCCGGGGGGACAGGACCTCCTGCAGCCCTTGGTCTGCTCCACCACTGCTTCCCTGTCTGCTTTCTGCTGCCTGGCACCCAGGGTGGGTACAGAAGGGGGTGTTGGGACCATGCTGCTGTGTCACCCCCTGCAAGGCCCAGGCTTTCTCCTGGGTCAGAGCAATCTTCCACTGCTCCAGGTCTGATGAGCAGAGGCAGAAAACCCAGATCCTCTTCTCAGGTCACTCAGGGTGTCTCTGCTGCACTACAGGACCTTACGTCAGCTTGCAGTGGTTCAGCTCCAGGACTTTTCCCTACACAGCCAGTGAATCCAAATAGCAGCCTCGATAGTGGGGATGCTGGAGCAGATCTCTCTCACTTGCATCGTGCATGTTTATGGCTTCTTTATGTTAAAGGTGGGATGTTTGCTGCCACCCCTTCTCATGAACAGTAGCCACGGTTTTGTCACAAACATCAGTGCTGGCCCTGGGGTTATTACTGGAGCTTTGCTTTAAATAGATCCTAAGCAAACCTCTCTCTCTGTTTGTCTTGACATGGTACTGACTGGTGCTTTCCAAGAAACAGGGAAAAGAAAAACTGGATTCACAGTGGTGACTTTGACTCCATTTGGCAGAGGCAAACTGATCTCCTAAATGGGAAAGGCACAGCCACGAAGAGGAAAAACAAATGGGTCACCGAGAGAACCAGCCTGTTCTTTCTGACTGACTAGTTGCAAGTGACAAAGTCTCACTGGTACTTGTTTAGAAGATCCCTCCATTTTAGGAGTTGCTCTGTCACAAGAACACCAAAGGGCTTTTGGGTACATGAGATCTGCGTATGAAGTTTCATAATGGATTTTATAAAGTTTGCTGCACTTTACCCCACTTTGCTCAGTAAATATTTTGCTTCTAAATCATCGTTTGCCTTTCTGGGTCGTGTGGCCTGTGAAGCTGGGAGGCTTGTGCCTGTTGCAGGGGTGAATTCCTGACAGTGGACTGGGAGGAGGGGTGCTGGGGAACAGAAGGAGATGTGCCAGGTGTCCCCCTTCAACTCTCTCCAGAGATGGCTTCATTTCCCCTGTGGAGTCTGCAGGTTTGTGGTGACCTGGGAGCTCAGAGGAACGGCTGAGACCTTCCTGCAAGCTGGACACTGGCAAGGGCACACACTTTGGAGCTCTCTGGTGGGAGGTCTGGGTTAGGCGCAGCTCAGAGTTGTACCAGGGAGGTCTGACCTCACACTGGCCAGGGGACCCATCGTGCATCCTGGGGGAAGAAACTCCTGGGAGCCCCTCAGAGCCTTTCCTGTCCTCTGCTTTGCTGTGTTACTGTGTCCTGGCTGGAGGCTCAGACAGCAGAAGCTAGGAAACCACTCTGCCTGAGTGGTACTAATGCAAGGGTCACTGAAGATGGTCACAGCGAATTAAGGTAGAGAAAAAATGCCATGCTCAGGCTTCAGCCCTGACGCCATGCTCAGGCTTGAGTCCCTTTGTTGTGATACAAAGGGACAAAAAATTGCACTTTTTAGCATCATTTCCATAATGTGACTCCTCTGATTCCTCCTAAAGGCTTGTTGGCTGGCATCTGCCTGCAGCACTGTCTGTGCTCTGTGTGTCTACGGGGCTCTCTGTCTGGGTGAACTTAACCTGTGTTTGGCTGTTGGGGTACAGCTGCCAGAGAAAGAGGCAAATCCCAGCGCTCAGTGCTTCAGCACCAGTAAGTCACCAGTGTTTGGCCAGCAGTGAGCTCAAGCTGCAGCATTTGGGTAGGCCTTTCTGAGCCTCTCCCTCTGACCTGTCATGGATGCTTCAAGATGTGGTCTGGCTCATCTGGGTAGAAAAGCCCAGCATGCTCAAACTGGGCTTTTCTACCAACAGGAAGCTGATTGAGGAGACCTCATGAACAGCTGTGATCTGCTCAGGTTTAGATCTGAGGTGGAAAATCCTGGTGAGCTTTACTGCTGCTGGCTGCAGACAAGCTGGGAGAGGCAATCGCACATGAAGATGCAGTGAGGGCTCCAGGTGATGCTTCCCTTTTCCTCAGCCAGAGACCTGAATTGGCTCTCTATACCTTTGTGAAGTGGCCACCCTGCCTCTTCCACATATAAATTCATGGACTTTGCTAAGGAAGAGGTGGAAATCTGGTCTTTGGGAGAACACTGTGCTTTGGAGGTAATTATTTTAATGATGGGCAGAGCCAAGCTCCATATTGCAACACTGGATGTACTTGAAGGCTTCATGAGGTCTAGGTCCAAATTTTGTGACTGTCTTAATGACTGCCTGGACCATGTGCTCCTGAAATTCAAGCTGTGCACCTCCTAAAGCTCCACTTCTGGAGAGACGCTGCCAACAGCATTCCCTATACACAGCACATTGGGTGGGCTTCTCATTGAGTGTGTGTGTGCATGTGGGTGGTGGTGCAAAATGCAGTTTATTTTATGGCTATGTTCACACATCTCATTAGGCATACAAGAATTGCCAGGGAGAGGTCAGGCCAGGTTCTGTTGTCCATGCCAGGCAGTGAGCGTGAGCCCCCCAGACAGGCTCTGCCATACAGCAGGCCCTCCCTGCTGCTAATTACGGCTTGGTTTAAGCTGTGAAACTTGAGTTTGAGGGCCACTTCTACAAACTCTCTGTTATCATGATGTATAGCATTGGCAGCAATAGGCAGTCTTGATGGATAGACAGAAATCTCCCATCCTCATCTGAGCTGACCACTGGCCTTTTCTAACGCTGCTTAGAGCTTGGTCTTTTTATCATATGAACGATAAGTGCTCTCACTCTGGTACTTCCTGCTTGGGTTTTTTCTCCTGCCTGTAGTGCCCGGAATATGTGTTAGCAGTCTATTGATGGAAATGATAATTAGGGGATCTGTTATGAGAAATGTGCATGAACTTTTCAAGCTGTCATTCAAAGAAAGACTTTTTTACAGTCAGCCTTTGATTATCTGTGGGCTGCAGATTAGATGTTTAAAATGCCATGTTGAAAAAAAACAGAACTCTTTCAGAACCCTTATGAAGTATAATGCACAGTGGGGTTTTTTTCTTTTTTATTTTTAGCCTCATACTGCATCTTAAATTTGTTTTTTTAAAGGTAAAGGTATTAAAGCACTGCATTCCTTAGGCATTGTTTACATGTATTTTGTATTATTTGTTTTGCTTTTCTTTCTCTGCCCTCATTACACCGGATACTGAGAGCTGAGCATATCAGACTATAGCATCCGTGGAGGAGGGCATGTGACACGGTAACCTTTCCCCAGCTGTTTTCTTCTGGTGCTGCGTAAGAGTTTCTGCAGTGTGATGCAGCCAGATGGGCTGGAAAGGGAGTGCTTTGCTGTGGGGGAAAGCAAATGTCTATACCTGAAAGAGCATGACTGAGTGACAAACAGCTAAAAGAGAAGGGATGCCTTAGAAACCATTTGTCAGGCTGGAGAAGTGGTGGCTTGTTAAAAACGTGCCTGTTCAGTTAAAAGGATGAATTGACAGACGAAGGTTCAGTGCAAATTCAGCTGCCATCACTTCAAAAGCCCTCACAGCTGAATCAGCAGATTCCTATTTCCATACATAATGGATGCAGCCAGCGTGCCATTACGATGCCCACAACAAGACTCGCATTAAGCTCCTTAAGTTAGCTGTTTATGATATTCACACTGTATAGCTGTAGCTCATGTTTTTCCTGAGCCTCCCTCTCTTCTCACGCCTTTTGTTTTTGGAGCCCTGGGAACAGCTGCCTAAGTAAGGAACTGAAGGAGGGAGTGGTACTGACTCAGTGCTAGCCATGCAGAGATTTCCAGCTATGCCTTTCACACTCTCTGTGGCCTTTGCATTGCCTGTAAGTCCTGCTGACCCATGCTGGTGCTGCCTGTCCCCACTGTTAGCCAGGGGATGGGATCTGGCAGTGCTGGTGGACCAACGTGTACACCACCAGCATGCAGCAGTGCAGAGATGAGGCACTGGGTGCTTTATCCCCATGCTTCCCCAAGCTCCTTCCTTCCCACCTCCTCAGCCCCTGCTGTCAGAAACACCTTTCTTCTGCCACCACCTCCTCTCAATGGTCCCCATGTCTCTTCAGACATGGCTGCTGCCATGCTCTCCTCTTGGTGTGCTGTGGCTTGGGGCATGTACTCCTCCTGCCTGGCTTAGCTCTGGCCATATAACCATTGGGTACAGATAGTGCTGGAGAAGGACACAAATCAGCCCCCCAGACTTTGGCAACATTTGGGTCCAGATCCCTGTTCTTGCTAAGAAGTGACACCTGGTTTTTATTTTTAGTGCCACTTGAAGAGTTTGAAAGCAGCTCAGGATTTTCACAGAAACAAGTCATGCTGAGTAAAGTATTACTGAATGGTTGTCAACACTCACCCAAACCCTACTGCCCTATAATAGTTTTATTTTCTTCTTTTTTGACCAGAAGGAATGAAAAACAGTAAAAAAAAAAAAAATCAAAATAAAACAACCCCAAACCCCTCACAACAAAAACCCCAAAACATAAAACCCCAACTTTTTCTGTGAAAATAAAAAAAATTATAAAGTTGGCACCTTTTTATTCCAACCACAAGGTTTTCTGAAAGCAACTTTTGGCTGAATTTGTTTAAAAAAAGTGTTGGCTGAGAAATGTCAACCAGCTTTAATATCTTATTATAGATTTTGCACTTAATAAAACTGCAGGCAGGCAGACAGAAACAATATACCCATTCATCTTCACCTAGCCCCTTGCTCCCTTTCCCTGCTGCCCTGCTCTGTCCCAGAGGTGTGAACCCTATCTGGTGACGTGAGCCCTTCGACTGGCTTGGGTAGGATTACTGAGCCAAAAAGTCATTTTGTGAGCCATAGCAGCAAAGAGAAGCACACATCCCTGCTCATGGGGGACACACGGCACCTCTGCCACGGGGCCGTGGGAGCTGTAACGCGTCGGTGATGTCTACATGGAGACCAGTAAAACACAGCAGAGCAAGCAGCAGTGCTGGCTAATCCCAATTTCCTCAAACAGGCTTTTTTCCCCTCCCTTCCTCACTTTCTTGACCCTGGGGATGCATAAAAGCTGTGGGTGAAACACAGCCCAGGGAGCTGGTGGAGGAAGGAGGGAGCAGCCAGAGCCTCACTGCAGTACAGCACCTTTTCCAGGGGTGGCAACGGGGCAGAGCTGCCCCCGGGGGCTTCCCTTGCTGCCCCTCTCCAGAAGTGGGTCCTGGAGGCACAAGTAACATTTCTGTTTGCTGTGTTATTTTGGGAAGTTTTTGTAAGGTAAACAAGAGGCCCCTCTTGATTCATGGAGGCCATAAGTAAACCGTAGGATGCTATTTACATTGCTAAGGTATTTGCACCAGCTCTCTCCCAGACGGCAAGTTCAGTGAGGAGGAGGTGACCTTCAGCGTTCCTTGTTTTGCCTTGTATCTGGCACGTGGGGGGCCTGCCTGTTTGACTGGAGTGCCTGGGTACTGTAATCAAAATAAATCATCCTTATCGTCGCCAGTGGTGATACTGCAATGGAAACAGAAACAGGCGCCTGCTTTGCACTTTGCAAAAGTGACATCATTGCGAGGAGTAGGATGGGAGGTCAGAGGATGAACTTGAGGCGGCTGCTGCTGCCTTCCCCGAGCACGGCTCTGCTGCCTGGGGCCAGCCTCCCGGCTCCACAGGGCACGAACGAATCACTGCGCACGGCTGGAAAACTGCTCTGCTGTCCAGATTAAAGCAAATAACAACAGGGAAGCGTTTCTGATGAGTGAAAAGGAGAGAGTGTGCCTAGGTTCTGGTTCAGCCGATCACGTTTTCTGAGGTAAAATTGACAAAAGACTGCCCCCACAGCTCCTGCGTCTCTCTCCTCCCTGGGCAAACCACAAAACACAACTTTTCATTCTGGTTGCCTGTTTGGGAGGAAAGAAGTCTGTTTATGACTGCTTTTTTTTTTTTTTTTTTCCTGTGGATTTATATGGTTCTCACGGTACTGGGAGCTGACTTTGACTGAATTCTCATAATACTGAAGAAAATGAGCACTCCAAGAATCTACTCAGAGTAGCACTGCTATGGATACCATAAGCATAGGAAAAAACTTTACAGTTCACATGTATTAAACCCCAGCAATTCCATATAAGAGCAGGCCACTGAATTCTCTGATGCCCAATGAGATATAATAATTCTTTCCCTCCGAAGGAGGATTCGTAGAGACCATGTCAGCTGCATATTTTCATACAGCTTGTAGCAGCAACTTCCTATCTCAGAGGCTGAAATGTTTCAAAGAGGATTTTCTGTTTGCTGTCAAGGAAAACACATGTGGGAAGGACGTGCATGGAGGAAAGGGCTTATGCATGAAGCAAAGCTGGGCGAAGCAGGTCCCACCTCCAACCGTGAGCAGGGCACATATGCTGCCCATGCCTCTGCTGCCTCATAATAAGGGACATAAGGCAGGGGTGAACACAGATGATGTTTGCCCTCAGGCTGTTGAGCACTTTGGTCTCCTTGGGTAGGAGATATCACTCCCTTGCCACAGGCCCTTCAAACCCCAGGCCAAGGTTCTGGCTCTGCCACTGTCTTCCTTGGTCCCATCCCTTTCCTCCCTGGGAAAGGGTAGTTACAAGCATCCCCGCTGCAGGGTCAGCCAGGGAAGGCTCCCACCTTGGTGAGCTACCCCATGCTCTCTGGTGATGCTCTGCACCCTGGCAGAACTAGGCAAAGGGCTTTAAGATGAGTTGCTTTAATGCTTCCACACTCTTCCTTTTCTTCCCTCCTCAAAGAGACAAACCTTAGCTTTGAAGCCTTTGAAATGACATCAAAGAATGAGATTTTCAGAGGAGCTTAAGGGACTTGGGTGCGCTTGTTGCATTGATGGTCAACAGGGCATGGGTGCTTAATCTCTGGAGGTGCTTTGAAAAACTTGTCCTTCGTGTATGTCCTTGCTGGGGAGGAAGTGAGAAGCAGTTGGCAGCTCCTTGGCTTTGTAAAAGGCAGATTCTGCTTTTTTTTTTCTGTAGATAAAACATGATGGATTTGAAGATGATGTCCAAATCTCAGGTTTGCTGTGAAAACCGCCAACTGCTTTTTAAAAGAGAAGCACTTAAAAGCAGCCTGTGATTTTGCTCCATCCAAAAGATGGTAACTCATCTGATAACTCAGGAGCGGCCACTTGCTCTCCCCTCAATGTCACTGCGGGCGCAGTGTCACCTTGCTGGAAACCTGAAAGCCTCTCAACATGGAGGCTCCTAGTTGTGGAGGTAGCACTACATTTCTGCCTCTTTTGTGTCATTTTTCAGCAGTACTTCAGTACAGCTTGTGTTACTTTTCAACAGGGCTATCAGTGCATGTTTGCTTCTGCTGGTGAATATTAAACCCAGTTGGTTTAACTCATAACAGCCTGGAGGGGGGCACTGCAGGGGCAGCATGCACCGTCAGCATCTTCTCACTGCCTACAGCACCGATGCTGTCCGGCTTCTACGAGCTGTCCCAGGACCCTGAGGTGCAGACAGGACCTGCCTGGAGCTGTAAGTGTAAGTTATTGGTGGAAGGGAGCTGTGGCTTTGCAGGCAGCCCAGCAGGGGCTGTGGCTGAGGGCTGGTGTCAATGGGCTCCTGCAGAAAGGCAAAGGAAACTTGGCTTCTGCCTTGCTGTTGTGCTATTTTTGTTCAAGGTAATGACAGGAATTACACTGTAAATAAAAATAGACAAGTGAAGAATTTCCCGCGTCTGTCTCTGCTCATTTCTTTCCTGGTGAGGAATTCTCGCACTCCAGAAAAGCAAGTCCTTCTTGTGTGCTCCTTGGAAACTGGGACAACAACACTGGAAGGGAAAGAAG